CTCAATCAAACGTACATTTCGGCGAGCAACGAACATTTCAGTCTCGGAGCACTTAATATTACATGACATGTTTGTTTACGTCTCATCTTTTATGTCAACGACGGATTCCGTCACGTGTAAAATTAGTTATTTCTAAGTGTGTACTGTTAATAATTGCTGAAATAAAATGTGATTATATTAAAAATTGCAGCAGCGTGCACCACAAACACAACGCGGTTGGCAAATTTTTCATCGAATGTCCCCTTTTAGCATCCCACTGGCCAATGCTTCCGCCACCCAGATGGCACAGGAAATGTGCCCTCTTAATGTGAGTTAAGATAATTAAGTTGAGGTAATCTTCCTTCCAGAAACGCTTGTCCGGAATCTCCAGCAGTAAATCTACTTTCAGTGGCTTGCCATAAGATGTTCCCAAACGACTGTATCGAATATGCTGCTGAACGAATTTGAAGCTTTCCTTGGCGAGAACATGCGACCCGTCGGGAAATGCCAGCGGAAACTCAACCCCTCCATAATCCACATCTTCAGAGATCGTTCATTGTCCGCATCTTTTAGCGTCCTCAAACTCTTCCGGAAAGCGCCCAAGCAACGCTCAATATAATTTAACACCTTGAATTTCACCTTCACCTCGCTGAGCATCTCTTCCACCTGCAGCCGGAACAGATTCGAGTGGTAGAAATATTCCGGTTGCTTCAACCGATTGATTTCCTCTACCGTCGGCGGTTTGTATAGCTGCTTCATGGTTTTGATCTTGGAATGACTTTGCGCTAAACGCCTTTCGATTCCGAAGATCCGACAGTCGTGACTAGCACAAGCGTTCACCACTTTTTTGACCGCTGTCGCTTTCCGGCTCCGGCCGCATAAAATCGTCGTCGTCAAATGAGTTCTCAGGTTTCGAAAAACAAAACAAAATCAAGAGTTGTCAAAATTTCAGGTTGCCAAACAATTCACAAGCTAACAAAAGTCAGTTCAATTACTTCTCGGCACTGCCGTGCCAACTGCGGCACACTAAGGTACACTGAGAAAAAAGTTGGCGCAAAACAAGTGTGTAGTGACCACCTCTTGGATAAAGTTCAAGTCAGCATTTAATGAAAAGAATAACACATGTGTGTTTATTGATGTGATTTCTCTAACACATGTCTATTGCTTAGCTTTTCAAATGTAAGTTTTGATTTATGAACATAATTTTTTCCATGTTTCCCGACGTAATTCTGCTGCGTCTATCACTGTAGATCTGTCCTGCTTTTGAAAAAGCCCTTTCACAAGGAACCAAAGTGGCCGGAATTCACAGCCTTTTAAAAACCATTTGGTAGAGTCTAGGATAGTTGGATTTCCTTTTTTCCCATCATAAAAATGGGTCGCTCATCCTCAGCAAGTGTAGTTCGACTAGGTACTTATCCACCTCCACGATTGCAGCTACTGATAGATTATGCACGGCTAGTAGTTTCCCAACCAGCTCGTCAAACTCCTCTCACACAGATGACTGTGCTTCATCTCTAGTAGTTTCATCTGGTTGTTCCAAAGACGTTGGTTCTACGTCTGTCATTCTAAACTTCTCTATCAATGTGCATAGTTGTATTTGCTGTCATCTCCGAACCCCTGCTTTTTTGAAGCGAGAATCTTTCAACCGTTACATCGCAGAATAGTTTGAGAATTTTAACTGTATGTTCGATAGCTATCCAATCCTGAGATTCCAAGGACAAGCTAGACTCCAAAAGTTCCAAAGCAGACACGATAGCCTCCCTATTGAGAAGGATTCGATCCAACATATTGTAAGTGGCATTCCAACGAGTTGGAACGTCTTTTTTCAACTTTAATTGCGGCTTGTTTAGTTTCGCTGCATTTCATGGATCTTGCTAAGAGCATGGCTACTTTGTTTGAAGCAGTGCTGTAAATTCTCAAAATCATTTGAACATTTTTGATGAAAATGAGAAAAGTAGCTATTCGCTATCAAAGGGGACCTCCTCCGAATGGGTGATATCAGTTGCTTAGTCATTTGACGAAGGCATGGATCCCCTAATAAAAATTGTATGGTTAATTTGCTTAACGACGTGTTCTGGGTATCATCCAAACCATTTGTGGAATAGTTCAATGATTTGGGTTATCGTTCGTTTATGGTTATTTTTTATTAGGGTCATTCTCATTTGAGAAACGCTATATATCATTCAATTGAGTTTTACCTACACATAAACAGAGCTCTGGTCGATATTCCGGCGAAAAAGCTAAGCCAACCCGACCTCCCTTAGCTCAGTCGGTAAAGGCGCAGCTACAAAGCAAGACCATGCTAGAGGTGGCTGGGTTCGATTCCCGGTCCAGTCTAGGAATTTTTCGGGTTGGAAAATATCTCGACTTCCCTGGGGCATAAAGTATGATTGTACTTGCCACACAATTATACTAATGCAAAAATGGTACAGGCATCGAAAGCTCTCAATTAATAACTGTGGAAGTGCATCTAGAACACAATGAGCTAATATGCGATATGCAATAAGCTTGAAATGCGACGAAGAAGAAGAAGAACCCGACACCAACCTGACTTCTACCAAACACCACCCCGATGTTGACCTGACATTGACCCGACATAAACCCAAAATTGACCCGACAACAACACGACATTGGGTCGACATCGACCTTAAATTAGCCTTACATTGATCCGACATCGGGTCGACTTGTCTGTTCGGGACCATTTTGCTGGATTTCTTCCATACTGCACTGTCGTATATCAAATGATAGTGAGTAACTCAATTGACAGTGACAATAAGCTTCGAATGAGAAAGGGGCTCTTCAAATTATGGTCATATGAGAATTCGTTCACACAGAATTGATTGAATGGTGGTATGGGTCATCTTCAATCGAACGATATGAAAATTAACAGCACTGATAGGAAGGACATAAAATTCCTACAATTTTTTTGAATTCTCTGTCTTCGACTAGCGAGAAGGGGTGAAATTCCTTGCAGATCATCTTGAGCAATTGAATGCCAAATGATCTGCTTTTTTGGAGTTATAAACAACTGAGGAACCGATTTTAAACACACAGGCGATGGTACAGATGATGAAGCACCTAGCTCTTCCCACGGGTGAAAATGAAAGGATTGAGGAGGAGTAGTCATAAACAGAGAACAGGTACCTACATGCAGAATGGGTGAATATTTTCTTCTGGGTGACATAAGCGAGAGAGGAAAAGAGCGAACATCACTGAACGGGAAATCAGAATTTGACGGTGGCTTAATTTGCTAGAGCTGGGACTCTTGAATCGTGGTTCGTCCGTCATTCTCATAGTGAGCCTTCTTTCAATGCTGTGTTGAGCTGTTGTTCGTTTGAGAGCCGTGGTTCAATTTTGTAGAACCGTGGTTCGTTTGCTCTTTTTTGACATAGGATTACGTCTTTCGCTAACATATTGGGGGTGCAATTTCAAAAACAAAACAAAAACAACCGCATTTCGAAAAGTGGTCAGGTTTTGACCACTTATAACTCTGTCAATAGCGGATGGATTTTATTTCTTAACAAGCTAATCGATTGGAAATTTGTCTACGAATCTGCTGAAATTAACACTCTGCCAATTTTCAATAGGTTGCTATTGAAAATTACACACATGGCTAACTGATGCAATAGTGATCAAAATTATCACCGATTGCCTGCAAAAACCGCATTCCCTAACACAGATTTCAAAATTGTATTCCATCACAGTCGCCGAATAATGATACCGAGCTCGTAGTCCTACTTCAAATCAACGGCCGTATCATGGATACATCCTCTTTATTTTTATTGTTGTTCTTGTGTTATTTTTTCGAACCAAATCGAATAAGTGGTTCGTGAGTTTTCGCCCATCACTAGAGGAGATCGATCGTGTCGAGCGTGACCTGAAGAAGAAAGTGAAATTGTTGTCGCCTGGAGGGATCAGCTACTTTCTGCGGATTCGTGTGGGCCGAGATGATGAAGGTTTTTTTTTTTTTGCGCTGGACCAGCAGAGTTATAGTTTGAAAACTGCCTGTCGTTTTGGGTTGGAGCGTGCGAAAGGATCTAAAATTCCGTTGGACGTGGGGTACTACCGAAGCCGGGAAGGAAGCAAAGCATTACCCGCCAATAAACACTACCATTTGAGCATTGCTTTACGTGGCCGTCAAGACTCGCCCAGATGTGTCGGCCAGCATGATTCTTAGCTGCTTTGGGATATGCCCAACTAACAATTTTAGCTGCGGATTAGCTTATACAGCCAAAAAATGGCTTATACAGCTAATATTTGCCTGTATAAGCTAGTCTGCAGCTAAAATTGTTTGTTGGGTGGATAGGCTAAAAGTAAACAAGAAGCGCTCATTTCCTCGCATACTTGACTTCGTCTGATTTTTCTGCTGGAGAGAATCGAGGCAACTATGTGCGTCGTTTGACCATGTTATACATAAAAATCAAGGCAAATGCTTGCTTTTATAGGTGAAAGCATATACAGAACCCAGAATAAAAAATTGTATCGTCTGCAAGGTCAACTTCTAAAATTCGCTGCAATGTTCATGAGCAGAGGATGTCAGGAAATGGTACTAACATTCATTGTAATAAATGTTTGGTTTGCGTGTACATCAAAGCGCTCGAAGCATATCGATACCCAGATGTTCTTCGCCACATATTTGTCGGAGAAAGGTTAGGTTACCATTCGTTATTGCCCATCCGAATCTATGGTCACCTATATCTTAACCAAGCCCTTAGGATATGTAAAGCAGCAGCAATTCTCAGCGATGATTGGTTTGACCTGAAGCAGCAGATGTCGAGGAGGAGTGTAGAAAGTACTACATCTGTCCCCATATCTATGGGCGGCAGCAAGAGAGGCAAAAGCAAGAGAGTTAACCAATATATTTTTATTCCATTGTAAAAAGTCCGTGAATAAAGTTAGTAGATGTATCGGTCCCTTTTAATCATTTATTACGTGGCTACCGAAAAAATATTTCTGGTTGATTCCTTGGTTCTGTCGTCGGTAGTTCTCCGCTGCATAACCGGTCCGCTGTGGTTAGTTTTTTATCCAACAGTCGTAGCATGACAATACATGTAGTTGACTGCCATAACGTCTGTAGTAGATAAACCGGTGTCGTTGCCAAAGTCCGCATAGGGCCATGGTTTCTAAAACAAATACGTCAAGATCAGTTCACTTCAAAACTCTCACTTCAACCTGAACAAAATTCCTTACCAGATTATTCATCACTGGTCTGTTGTAATCAACTGCTCCACCCCATTTGGAATAGTGCATCACACTACCATAATTGTACGGGATATTATACAGTTCAGTTTGTGCGAACGACAGCTTACCAAAGTTTGCATCGAAGAAGGACTCTGAGAAATTATACAACGTTAGCAACCACTATATTACTACAATCATTATGAAACAAGACACACTCACGCGTTTGGTATTGTGGATCGAGGGCCTTCATGTCGATTTTAACCCAATTATCACGATCCGGACGGGTAAATTCATGGTAGAATCCTAAAGCATGCATAAACTCGTGGGCAACCGTACCCGTTTCCATGCAAGAAGGATTTTGCAAATTGACCAAATTGTACGAGTTGTCGGTACTTCTTCCAACGTAAGACCAGCAACCACTTTCGCTATTGTCGATCCTCAAGTAAACTGATTCGGTCGTGTGTGGTACAAAGCGGATGCATGTATTTACCGCGTAGTGGTTGATCGTCCACTGGATGGCTTGTACTTCAGCCGGGCCTGTTACATTACAGAATAACTAAGTAAATGTAGTATTTGAAACCCATCTTGAAACTTACTGAATGATCCGGTGATCACATACGGTACCACAGCATTTGGCCATCTAATGTTTTGGTTACTTCCTAGTGGAACCGCATTCTCATTCAAGTCCTCTTTCAGCATAATGTCATACTGATGGTAGTACCCCATACCGGCTTCAAATGGACGGGTTTTGTTCACGCCTCTCTTGTAATGTTTCAAACGTCGTCCTATCAAAACACGATCACAAAGATGAGTAAACCAAGCATTCAGTTCAGCAAACCCTCAATTTTAACTTACCAACATCTCCATGAGGCGCCGTAGCAAAGTTTCTTTCGCCGCGTTTATGATTCCGATGAATCGGCACCCGGTGTCCATCCCTTTTATGGTTCCTTACGGCCAACGAATGGTCCAATGCCGAAAGCACTACCAAAAGAATCAAGAACCTAATGTAACCGTTCATGGTCACAAATTAAACTTGTCTCATGGTGAATGGTACAGGTGCTTTTATACGAGCCGCATTCTCGAATGAAATAATGACTAGATATATTTCATATTACACGAAAACAATAAACATGGAAAAGAGTATTAACCTATTCAGCTTGCATTGTGAAAGTACAATGCACGGATTATAGTGTCGATTTGCGTCAGCAACTCAGGTGCTGTACAGTACAAAAAAATGTATTTGAACATGTAAGCTACAAGCACACACTGCGACCAATTGTTACCGAATTCAAAACGAAACAGAAACCTTATTACTATTATTATTTAATCCATAGAGATAAAAGTATGGTAAAAACAATCATACACGGAATAAAATTTTATTCATTTAAATCAAAACTAATGTATGTTTATTAAATAAAAATTGGAATAGTTCAAAGTAAATTAAAAACATGTTTTCAACAAAAAAAATTTTTTTTTTTAATTTAGCATTTGTGCTCAGTACCGAAAAAAAAGATGAACGGAAACAAATCAAGGAAAATATGCATTTTGAAATACAAACACTTAATTTTCCGCGTTATTTGCATTCCCACATTGAACTTTATGGATCCATAGTGAATTGAAATGCACAGGTGCAACTTTTTTTTTGTTTTTTTTTTTTTTTTTTTTTGTTCAGGAATATACATGTTTCACAACAATTACATTTGAACAAGTTTTTGAAATTCTGGACTTAAAAGTTATAATATTTCAAGAAATTTTCAACAATCTGAAGTCAAATTCCTTGCACAGTTTAAAAGGCTCATGGAATATTATTATACTTTCCAACGAGCTCATTCCAAGGGAATTCTAAAAAAAAAATGTTTGAGAAAAACATCAAGTGCAATCTACTAAGAAGGTCGTTCTGAGGAACATTAGTTTGTTTTGAGTAGAACTCATAGGAATATCTAAGGAGCAGAACTCCTGTATACTTCAGGGTAACATTCCAAAGACATTATGAGGATGATTTCATGAAGTTTATGCAAGAAAACGAATCCTGAACATAAGTCCTTGGACAATTTTTTGGAAGTGAGGAGGAATTGAATCTGAAAATAACTCCCGGAGATCTTCAAAGATATTCGGAAAAGAATTACAAAAGAGTTTGTCTAACAAATTATGAGGAGAAATATAAGGAATTTGTGAAGAGAATTATTTGTAAGATCTTAAGGAATTACTCTTAAATGTTCATGAAGTTAATTAAACTGTCTTGACGTTCTTTTGTAGTTTGAAGAACTAGCTACAAGCCAGAAGCACAAATTTTTAAACTTTCTTAAACTTTTTCGGACTTCCTAAAGTTTCCTCAATTTTCCTAAGGATCCTTATGGATCTTCTCCAAAGTTTGAACAATTTGCTGAAGTTCTAGCAACTACTTCAAAAATTATGTAATTTCTCAAATGTTAACGGAACTGCTAAGAGGTTCTCTGTTCTTCCTTCTCAAAAGTTTTTGCAGTTCTTATGATGCTTGTTGGACTGTACTAAATTTAATTGAACAGTCCTAATGTTTTGTTTCCGTGAGCTTCTGAACTTATGTGAAGAACTCAAAATATTTCTTAACATCTCTGAAGTTCTCTGAAAATCTGGGAACTTCAAAAAATTTCCAACAAATTGTGTGAAACCAATAGAACTGAACTTCCCCTGCAATTATCCCAATTTTTGGAGCTGAAGCTCTCGGATCTTCCCTTAAGTTCCATAAACTTCTGCAATTTTCTTTGAATCAAAACAAAATAATTAATATACAGGGGAAAGCAAAAAAATATGGGGACAGGCAAAATTTTGTCAAAATTAACTTTTTGAAAAATAAATCAATTTTATTATAACCGGATGCATTTGACGGGAAATTTATAGCAGTTTTAATAAACCATTTTTAGATTTATGGTGGCCAAATGTTCTGGATTTTTGAAACTGATTTTTCTCATCGCTTGTAGAGTGCAGTTCCAAACCCCTTTGGATACGGTTGTGTGTTAAGTTTGTTCTCTGTTTTGTGTGTGCGTTTGCTTTCATAGTTTTCGGCTGCATTTGCCGGATTAGCGCTAGCACTCTGCCTCCCGGACGTTTATATTGACGTTTGCAAGTATCAGAAGAGATGTCACCATCTGCGTTGTTTGATTTATTTTTTCTCCCGGACCAGAAATTTGTGGCATCGCGAGTGATAATTTTTAATGTCAGTTTATTTACGCGCTGTAAAGTGCGTGAAAGAGCTCGGCACGGTTGGTGTTGAAGTTGGTTCGCTCGCAACTATTTTTGCAAAAAAATAAGTGTTTTCGACCGAAATTGATACCCAAAGTGTATCAAAAGTGATTCTGAAAGTGTTTCGCAGTTGGGTGTGGTGGAATTCGTGCATACCGTGCAATTCCGTATCAATAAATTTCTCACCGAGTTCTTTTTCTTTATTGCCGTTCGAAGACGACGGGTTTGCTTTCGCAAGAGTGACGTTTATTGGATCCGTTTCTTCGAACGCATTATTTTTTTTTTTTTTTTTACCTGCGGTGTGTAAGTGTGCTTGTGATTTTCATTGCCTACTGGGAGGCCGGTTCACCGTGTTCGGATGCTACGCTTTCGTGTAGTTCTACCTAGAGTCTCGTCACCGTGTGCGAGTTTAAACACGGTCTTGTTGGTAAATTAGCTGGGTAAAGTGCTGATAATGTATCCGCCGCAAGTTTTGGTGGTGATTCGGTGGCCGACATTGCTGTGAATGGCATGCAAAAATGCTCGTCTGCTGGTCTCTCGCTTGTGTCGGAGAATGTGAGCAAGCTGAAGGATGCCTCGCTGGATAACCCCAAGACTAAACGGGCGGTAGCTGGGGGTCGTGAATGGTTCCAGGGGAAAACACTAGACGCAAACCTCCTCCCAGATGACCATGGCAAAGCAGGTAGTATTACAACAAAGGTAATCGCTATTAGATATTTTTGCAAACAGAGACAGATAGCAGACATGAAGCTCAAGTGGAGGTGCCAGGCAGAGGTTTTATATCTTAGACAAATGGTAAGTTTCAAATTCTCTGTTGTCGTTGTCGTAGGCTCCATCGTATTCTCCGTCGTAGTCCATCAGCCGCTGAAACTATAAGAATTATCGCGTATTTCTGTTGCTCATTACATAGGGTTAACTACCCCATTTCCGGCCTATTAAGCACAACCCGCACTTAGTCTTTCTTAATCTAGCGCAGTTTAGCACCAAACGGAATGTTATTATTACTAATGGCTTCCAAATTTATTTACCTTTCCGTATGTACCGTAAGATTTGATGAAGAAAAACCAATCGTTGAGATATTGTCAAAAGTCTAACACTGCTTCTTGATGCCAAACTCAGCCTACGGATTCTAAACTCAGCCTAACATATTGAAACGCCATTGAAACACCAATCCCAAGTAACAATTTTGGTTTTATGAGGGTTCTGTAGACCATGATTTAGACTTGTAGCATGCTTTAAAACCGCTATAAAACTTGCAATGTTACTTGGGATGAATTCACTTCGGCCTATCGGATGAAGATAAAAATTGATTCGGTTGGAGCGCTTCTTTTGTTTTTGGGAATAATGGGTGCAAACCTTCACATCACGCGTTCTGATTGACTTCGTTCCGTAGCTTATTAACTAAAGTATTGTACCAAATGCATAATTGACTTATTAACTCAGAAATCATGGATTTATTTGAAGTTTTCTGCTCAATAGGCCCAAAATGGGCGATTAGGCCGAAGTAGTTCTCTACCCTACCAAGTGAAATTCGAGAACGCAATTTCATTTGATTAGCTTGTTTAACCAGGGCTTAAACAATCGTCACGTCGGTCATAGCTTGTTATGATTGCCTGAACCATGCGTAAAGAGCAAATCGATACATTGAACGTCGCGTAAAGGGGGAAATTAATGAAGGCCAACGTACTCTTTTGTAGTTTCTAGTTTTAGGATTTGAAAGATCGTTGGTTGCAATGGCTTGCTTACTGAGCAGAAAAACGTGGTCTCAGGTCATTTCATTTTAAAAATGTATGATACAATCGCTTGTTTATCGTGTATTTTGTAGAACTTTTCGTTGTCGTCGGTGCCGGGTTTGAATAGTTATAACAACTTTAGTAACGGTATAATGTGCACGGTAACCAGCGTAAACAGATTAATGTGTAAAATTTCACACATTTCGTGAAAAAAGGGGCCTACTCATAAAATGTGTAAACTGCGTTTATACATTTATGGGTAAACCCAACAAACGTCAATAGAAGAGTATTTTTTACACATTTTTCAAGAACGGTTTTTATAGCAAAATGTGTAAAAAGTAATCATTTCTAGAAATTGAATACAATGCAGACGCATGCTTTTTCTATTATTTCGGAGTTTTCTTATTTGTGTCACTGATAAAATAAATATTCCTCGGATACAATAATATTTTATTATCTCTTTTATCTTTATCACATAATTTATCTCTTCACATGAGTTTTAACCTCAACGAGATTGCCGCGGAAGTCATCGTAGCCAGACACCGGACAATGAAAACCTTGATTATGAAAAAAAAATAGTTCTTCTTAAACTTAGCAATGAAAATAAAATAAATCACTTACCCTATCTTGTCCATCTGCACTGTCCAGTTTGGACCTTAGTTCCTTAATTTCTCTAATCACTGCTTAGCGGCCGAAGGAAACAGGATGCAGCAAAGTTTGAAGTTTTTGTTTACCCATTAAGGAGTATGAAAATAACCATTTTTTAACTGGTACTACATTCTTAAAATGTGTATTTTTTTACACATTTTAAGATCTCCAAATTTACACATTTTTTGACAGCTGCATATATGTATGAAAAATGTGTATTTTTTTACTCATTTATGTGTTTACGCTGGTTACCGTGTGATATGAGGGGCTCGGTGGCCTTGAGCAACCGTTTTTGCTTATTGAGCAGAACATCATGAGTCTAATCTCAAGCCCATCCACATTCAAGATTCGTCAGTCGTTTTATTTGGTAATAACAGCAACTCGATGATCAAAAAGGAGCTCGTGGTAAATGTTTTTG